ACACATGTACACACGCATTCTCACGCATACCTACACCCACACACACCTTCACACAAACACACAGACGCGCACGCACGCACACACACACACACACACACACATCTACTAGTCATGACATTAGGCAAGAGTACGTGCCAATCGCAACCATTCGTGTTGCGATTGGCACGTACTCTTTCGATGGCTCCCTCTTTCGAAGGTTGCTTACAAGCAAGCTGATGACGGATTTGACTCCCGGCGGCATATGCCAGTACCAATTTACCACCGAAACGAATGAATGAATTGTAGAGAGACTACTGGTTGTTACACTGGCGGATTATCGAATCGATAACTTTCACCTTATATTATTTTTTAATACTTTTTTAAATATGTCATTACCAGCGCTGAGCTATCCGTGTAGGAGCATCCTAGTAACAGATTTTGGAAGTGGAATTTGACAAAAAAATATGAGGAAACAGCGAACGAAGTATTTTTTTTTTTTTTTTTTTTTACAAAAACAGTTGATTCAAAAAAAAGAATAGGAATATTTCGGTCCATTAATTCGTATACATTCTCGTTGAGCACCGTTAATGTCCTGAAATACCCATAGTGATAGCCTGAGTGATCTTTGGTCTTCGTGGAATATCGTTATCAACGTCACGGAGACGAACAGCAGGATGAATTAAGTCGTATACATTCTCGTTGAGCACCAAAATTCAGATTTGGTTAGGGGGCTGTACTGATGACCTGGCATACCCATACTGATAGCCTGGGTGATCTTTGGTCTTTCATCGAATATCATTATCAACGTCACAGAGACGAACAACAGGATGAATTAATTCGTATACATTCTTGTTGAGCACCAAAATTCAGATTTAGTTAGGAGGCTGTACTGATGACCTGGCATACCCATACTTATAGCCTGGGCGATCTTTGGTCTGTATGGAATATCATTATCAACGTCACAGAAAAGAACAGCAGAATGAAACCAAATTTATGTAAATTTATGCCCATAATTCATTCTTTTGATGACTATCGGAAAAGCACGTAAAAATAACAATCAGTCGAATTCTTGCTATTGTAACATTCTCGTTGAGCATTATTTTACCGCATCCATTGATTGTTTTTTTAAATGTTTTTCAGATTATAACACTGCGAGCATTGTTTGTGTGTGCGTGTGAATCATCGACTCTCTTCCACAATGTAAGTTTAATATTTTCATTTTAATTTTTATAATTTTTAGATTTTATAAATATTTTAATTTTTATGTTTCAAAATTCAGACTTGGTTAGGAGGCTGTACTGATGATTCCCACGCCTAACCACATCTTGTACTGTCTGTGTTTATAGCTAAGGGATGGACGCAAGTTTAATATTTTCAAATTTTATAAACATTTTAATTTTTATGCTGCAAAATTCAGATTTGGTTAAGAGGCTGTACTGATGATTCCCACCACTAACCACACCTTGTACTGTCTGTATTTATAGCTAAGGGATGGACCACCTTTTATGGCCATTTTATTTGTCAACTGGTTTTGTTCCACTTCAGCAACCCAGCTATCTTATCCGCCACCATTCTTTATCAAATTCTGTTCTTCCAGACTTGAACCATATGGAATTTAGCTGTGCTCAACTTCTTTTGGTTTTTACTATCCTCTGCTTTATTTGCTATTCTTCGGTCTACCTACGGCCGCAAATTACCACCACACATCTGCTACAACCCCGACATTCCAGCTTGGGATGACTACTGTTTGGCTTGGCCTCCTTGGCCCTTTCTTTCCTTTCTATTTCTGTTGCAAAAGAACACTTTTTGTTGACGAAAAACACGACTCCGCTAATAGTCCTCTGACTTTCCCCGTCACCGAGCAAAATCGTTTTTCCATCTTTCCGGCTGTGCGGTATTTTGTCGTGTTTCACAAATGCCGAAGAATGCGCACGTTGTTCAATCGGTTTTATGAGCTTTTTTCTTGGTAGAAAGCTACAGTTGTGAGAGATAATTGTTCTTTGGCCGACGACCGTTTACACATGCATTTTTTGTTTCAGGCCAAAAAAACTTCCTGATCTCATTGAATTGGTGTCGCAGGGTGTTGGTGAAGTTGTAACATTAAACGTTAAAAGTGGTGAAATTATCCAAGGTCGAATCCATTGCATTAATACCACTGAGCGGTTTGTCTGGATAGAACGACCTTTTGTGTAAGTTGAATTTTTTCAAAAAATTGATTTTCCTTTTTTACTTGGAGTATGGCGAGGGTTTAAAAAAAGAAATCGAGGTGGGATTTAAAAAAAAAATCATGGTGTGGATGAGTTCATGAAATTAGTCCACTGCCCTGTATTTTGCAGAGTTACGTTACGGATTTACAGCGAATCTAGTTTTTCTGCGGGTTTTGTGGAACTTTTGTGACCTCACTTTTTTATTTTTCACTGCCTAACTGATTAAAAAAAAAAAAAAATCATAATCAAAAACTGATTTATCACAACCAGAAAACTCTCTTTCCTCAACAAAAAATTCATATTCATAAGGGATGAGGCAAGCTGCTGGCTTTACCTGCAACCGGTGGACGTTGAGCATTAATGAACTGTGCCCACGAGAAAGAAAACATTCACTCAGGTGGCTCTCCAAACAAGTGTTTCTCATACATCGAGTAATTAGTAGGAACTAACTGAAATTATGCAGCCTAGGGATTGAAAGGCCTGGCATAGGTGTGTCTATTCCAGTAGCATTCCTAACATTGAAATACCCAAAATAGCCGTTGTCAGAACGGAACTGTTCCTCCAAAAATTTGCCCTGCACCGGCATGGGATCGAACCAGCTCTTTTCACGTCCAAATGCGAAGTGTTACCACTACACCACCGGGCTCCTGGTTAAGCCTAGTAGCACATCTACTGTGCATCTGCCTTTCAAGTCAAGATACACTTTCTTTTCTTCTTTTCTTTGTGACGACTTCTTGGCCGATGTTTTGCGGGTTTTCGGCGCAGCCATGGTAATCCTAATGTCCTTGGTTATTGTATTAAATTTGGCAGTCTAAGCGAGTATTAAAATTCAGTGGTTTTCGTGGAAACAGTCGAACCTTTCTGCCTCCTTTTACTTGTCCCCATCTCCTTGTACGCCACTGGGGAGATTCCGTTCTGATGAGAGGTAGTAATGCCCTGTTTGCCATTTTCTTTTATGTGAAAGCGCGTTATAGTGAAGGAGACGACTGGCCAGAGTACAACTTACTGACTACCCTGCGATGTTTGATTTTTGCAGGAATGGCAAACCGTCGGGAGAAGCCGCGAGAGACATTCCTATCAGTGAGATTATTTCGTTTAAAGTTCTGAGAATTCCGGGGGAAACGGATAGTGAACAGGTAAAAATTTTGAGCTTTAAATGTTGGCCTTTACTTCCCACTGTATTATTTGGAGAGGCCTATTGAAGTGATGTGGCGACGTATTAAAGTGGAAGCTAAAGGGCTGACCTACTGAAATGAGGTAAGCTGAAAGATCTGGCAGGTCCCACTACTCTAATAATTTTAGAACTGGCTCAACCCATGCCATGTCCACTTGTAAATAATCTTCCAATGCAACTCAATAATCAGCTCTATACGGTAGACCAAGTTACAGGAACTTTCAAACAAATCTCTGCTCACGAAATATGCACCGAAATGCTGAATAAAGGTACTGCATGCATTGATGAACAGATCATAGCACACTCAGACCACCTTCGGTCCCTTAGCTGTAAACTCAGACAGACACGTATATGTGGTTAGGAGTAGGAATCATCAGTACAGCCTGCTACCGCGTCGTGTTTTTTGAGTATCATGCATGTAATCCAGTCCTGGAAACCAAACTGAGGGAGGATTTGAGGGAAATTTCGAAGTTATCTTGCATTTTTGGGGTTTTTTTTTCTCACTGTTTTGTGTATAATTTTTGCATGATTTTTTCAGGAGGTAAATGAATCAATTGAAGCGCAAAAAGACAATGTGAAAATTACGAAAAGTACGGGTAAAACTTCAGCTAGAACGGACACTGATGCTGAATTCCGAGCTGTTTCGTCGACAAGTAGCCATTCAGTGGCTTCAAAAGGCAAATTTACCGTTGGTCCTTGCGGTGATGCACCCGCAGCGGTTGCAGTGCAATCGCCCGGATTGCCCAAAAATGTCAAAAATGAGCCAACTGAAATTTGCGCTGATAACCACGAAAAAGCATCTGGAGATAACGCGACAGCAGCTGTAGCAGCAGCTAACTCGTCTTCTGATAATAAGCCATCGTCTTCATCATCGCAATCATCTGGCAGTGTCAGTAGTTTATCACCAAAAGAAACACAGTAAGTTTTGAAAATCCTCCAATTTTTTTTTTTTTTGATTTTTTCATTTTTCAAGTAAAAAATCGAAAAATTTCCCGTATTCGTTTTCTCTGAGAGATATGGGACACTCAGGAAGACAGTAAGAACCGAGGAAATGCTCCTCTCATCGGCAGGCCTATGGTTCCAAACATACTTTCACAGTTTCTATCTTAAAAAATTTCCAAAACACATTTATCATTCCAGTGAGCGCTATTGCCTTCATCTAACCTCAATCTGACCGCTGTTCATTTTTAGCAACTTTATATATTTATTACTTTTATAGCACGAAGTCCGATCGCTGGCACTCGGATGATCGTGGAGTGACCAATCGAGGATTCTATGGACCGCTCAAAGGTGCACGGACATCGAATAAAAAGTGGAAAGGTTTGTTTATTGGCAAAGATTGAAAGAGCTGTTAAATTATTTTTAAATTAAACTACATTTTTGCGATAACAGCACTTTGATGGACAGAATTTTTTGCTTGGTTATATCAGATAGTTAAATTCGCGATCATTGTAAGCAACTCTCGGAAGAGGGAGCCATCGATAGCTTTGTCAGCGGATGATTTCTGTTGATTGTACATCTGTATCGCTCAATTTGAGTCTTTTTCACTTCTCAGAGAGGGTTTTGACTTTTGACTTGAATATTAAGTGTGTTGTGGATCAGCGATAATTCATACTTGGGTTTTCTCAGTTTTGGCTAGTAACTAATCGGCCGTTGCAAAAATTCATTAGGAAGGAAATCTGACAACTTTTCCAGTTGCTTTCACCTGTGCTGCATTGACCGATGGTTAGCCTGCTGGCGCTTCTGATGTTCGTTTTGTTCCCCACGTATGAAGAGGAGGAAAATCTGTTCAAAAAAAGCACTAAAAATGTTAAAAAAAAGAAACATTAAGAAAAAAACCCCTCTCCAAATCCATCAGAAACGAAATCTGACAACTTTTCCGGTTGCTTTGACCAGTGCTGCATTGACCAGTGGTCAGCTTGCTGGCTTTCCTGATGTTCGTTTTGTTTCCTGCACATGAAGAGGAGGAAAATTTACTTCAAAAAAGGCACTAAAAAGCAGTAAAAATGTTTAAAAAACATTAAAAAAACCCTCTCCAAATTCATCAGGAAGGAAATCTGACAACTTTTCCAGTTGCTTTGACCAGTGCTACATTGACCAATGGTCAGCCTTCTGGCGGTCCTGACGTTCGTTTTGTTTCCCGAAGAGTACTAGTAACCAGTCGGCAGATATGAAAAGGAGGAAAATCTGTTTCAAGAAAAGCCCTAAAAATGTTTAAAAAAAGAAACATTAAAAAAAACCC